AATCTGTCTGACACTGAAAATCCGTTGTATTGTAAAATTCGTTATATCAAAATTCGTTGTAGAAAGAGTTGACTGTATATGATTAATATAATAAATTAATATATATCTGTTTTTTTGAAAAGTATAGTTTTAAGAAGATAATCATAAAAAAATAAGTAAATAAATACTAAAATACAACTTTTTCTTATAAACATAAATAAAAACACAAATTATACATTATTTCAAATTCAATTTTTTTATAATTTTTTAAAGGTTTATATTATCTAAATAAACTAATAAATAATTTTTGATATTAATAATTATAAAATATTTTTTATTATTTTATTAATTTTTTTATATGCGTTTCATATTTATAATACAATAAAATATATTTAAAAATTGCATGTATATTTAAATAGTTTATAAAAGTGATAGATAATATAAATTACATTAATTTCATTATATTTATTTAATAAAAAAAAGGTATAATTTTCAATTAAGTTATTATATATTTATTAGCAAAATCATCAAATACTATAACAGTAGATTAGTCTGAATTCTTAAAAGATAAATATTAGGTTACTTTTGAATTTAATCAACCTGAATCCATTTTTGTATTATAAGATTTACTTATTCATAACTATAAATTTATAAAAGTATTTCACTGATTTTTATAATTTTTTATTTTAGTATTATACAATAAAATTATGAATATATCTTTATGATTATACTTTTTACTTAACATCAAATAAATTTTTGGATATTTATTATCAAGAAGCAGATATACTACATTACTTGACTTTTTAGATTCAAAAGCATATAGATTTTGTTTTTCAAAACAATGCCTAAAAAATTTTCTTTAAATGATACAGTAAATATCTATCAAAAATCTTCTTTTATGGTGTCTTATTATACAAATAAATAATTTAATATTTCAGTGGTTAAAGAATTAGAATATGTTAATAATAACTCTCTCTTATGGAAATGCAGAAATAGTATTAATTTCACTTATTTCTTTTACATATTAAAAATAAGGACTTGAATTTGCTTAGAATTTACAATTAAAAGAAGCGGAACGTGACTTTTCAATTTTTATCATAACAGACATACACAACTCTGGAAAATATTTTATTCAAAGAGGAGCTTGGTGAATACATTATATAAGCAAAATTGAGAAACTTGCCATTGAAAGTTTAAAAGAATTAACAGGTAATAGGAATGAAAGTGTTTATCTAATGTTTGCATAATTTGTAAAACACATTTACGCTGGAGATGTTTCAAATCACATGAATGGTTCACTTCTATCAGTGGTATTAAAAAGAAAAACTCTTGGTATCTGCATTGCGCTAGTATAAAATTTGATATTTCAATAGTCAAATCTATCACAAATAGCCGAGGTGGAGAATGTTTGTCAGCTTCTTATATTGATTGCAAGAGTGGGGATGCAATAAAAACCACCATTGGTATGCTACTTTTTTCATATTGTTCTAAATATAAACATGAAAGATTATTTTGAGAGATCTATATCTTGGACCGCCATCTAAGATACGTAATCATAATTTTCTCAAAACACTTGAGCACTCAAATGGATTACAGTATTATATAGCAATCGAAGTACAAGATGAAAAACACGAAAGAGAACTGGATTGCTCTAAGGTATTTTGGTATTACGAAGACCCATATGTAGTTATTCAAGAGAATCTTCGGGAAACTGGTCTTATTGAATAAAACTTGTACAATTCATTTTTTTTTGAGTAAAAATCACATGACTGTACGACAATTACATTTTTTTATATATATCATATATTTGCGATCAGTATGGCACAATACATCTTTCAACAGAATTTAGCACACCATACATACACAATCAAAAATCACGAGCCCAATGTAGGTAAATTTTTTTTTTATTAAAAGTTTAATCCAACATTTCAAAAATTTAAGAAAATCTATTTGATTTTATTTCTTTTTTCCTAAATAGGTTTGATCTATAATATAAAGGGAATTAATAATAAATAAAATTATAAAGAAATAGTGTATATATATATTACCTTAAAATGTAATCCAATAAGAGAAAACACTAGACATTTAAGATCTTGCACTAAATAATAAAATACGCGTAATCCTTCAGGATCTTCACTTTCTTGTACATCTACAAGCGATCCAATTTTTGCAGTCTATTAAAAAAAAAGGTACATAAATCGCGAGATATTTATATTATTATTAAAGCAAATGAGATTTAAGTTACCTCAAATGAAATATGTTCGTTGCCTAACCGAATTTCAAGTTCTTGTCGTCCAACAACATTTTTTTTTGGCCATCGCGAATCGTCTTCTCTGTAAAGCAACAGTATGAAAATAATTCAATGCATATTCAATAAAGAAACGACAGTTCTTCGCTGAATTATTGAACTTACTTCATGACCTCACTTTCTTGAATAATCCGTTTCAATTCTTTCATCATTAAAGGACTTACATACACTTGTACAAAAGAATAACGATGTTTAGAGATAAAAATTATTAAAAAAAAAAAAATTGTTAAAATAGATGCTCACTCTCTTTTCTTATCAAACTATCATTTCTATAATTTGAGTTATTTGCATAACGACATCGTCCATCGGCACGAAACTCAAATTCAAGAAATTCATGACCATAACGTCCCATGTGACCAGTGCTAATAGAGAAAAAGTATTTTAAAACAAAAGATTATTAATTGAAAAATAGATCGTAATAGATTGGAAGGAACAACTTACTAATAACGAACATAAAACTCGTCCTCACCGCCCATTATTATAATTTATTTTACAGTAAAATGAACTGTGGAAACTGGTACGTGTAAGAAATTTAAGAATAAAAAAACTAAAACTGAGTGTATGTTTGTTCAAAGATATGAACTTTTGCCGATCATTTCAACCAAATTTTAAATTTATGACGTAATGATTTAGGAAAATAATATTATATTGATAGGGAAACGGATGGAAAAATAATAAATGAGTTAATGTAAAACTTGTCATATTTTGACCTAAAAATCATATTTAGTAAAATTGATTTTTTCCGGCAGTTTCCCCACTTTCTATTGCAAAGGTCCCATATATATTGATCTGATTTTTTGATTAAAGTTAAAATCAATTAAAAAAAAAAAAATGTTTTAATACTTGAAAATTAATTTTTATAAATAAACTTTCTCTTTTTTTATAATTTTTAATTAATAATAAAATGTATATTTACCCTTTTTTATATTATTATGATTTATAAATAATTCTAATTTTTATAAATAAAGTTTTTAAATAATAAATTAGATTATCATAGAGATAATTTAATTTTAAATTTATAAATTAAACTTATAATAATAATAAATTAAGTTAATATAAATCAGATTATAAACTATCTTATAATAATATTAAAATAATTTAGAAGTAATTCTTTTTAAAAAATATTTCTATAGTAATTTTCTTTAAAAAAAAAAAAATTTTAAAAGAAAAATTTTAAAATAATATTTTGAAAAAAATATATTAAAAGTAATTTTTTTAATAAAAATATTATCATATTAAAAAGAATTATTTTAAAAATATATTATTTTAAAAAAAAAAATAATATAAGTTAAGTTATTTTAAAATTTAAACTTTAATATAAATTAATTTAATTAGCTTATAATAGCTAAAATTAAGTATAATAAGTTAGTTTATTTAGTTTACAATTATATTAATTATATAAAATTTTAGTAATAAAGTATTGATTTTATCTAAATAAGTATTTTATTTAAAAATTTGATTTATTATACTTTAAAAGGATTATTAAAAAATTAATCCTAGAAATTTTTTAACAAAATTATGATTTTTTTTTTGCATTTAATTTTTAATATTATCAGATTAAATATGTAATAGATCTTAATTTTAATTAAAAAAATTCTCAATATCTGATTTTCTAACAAACTTTTTATATATACTTTATATTTATAAAGATTTATATTTTTAAATTTATAATTATTTATTTTGAAATACTTTTAATAATATATTTATTATATTACTTAAAATAATTAACTATAATTACTAATTTAATTAAAAATCTAAATTTTTATATTAATTTTAAATTAAAATTTTGATAATATTTTTTTTTATAAATTAAAGTTTATTTTTCAATTTATTTTTATATTATTAAAATTTTTAAATTATTTAAAGTAACATTGTATTAATCTTTATATATTTTATATAAACTAGAAAAACAGGAATTATTATTAAGTTTAAAATAATCTTAATTAAAAAATTTATATTGCTATTTACTTTATTTAGGATTTTGTGTAATTATAATTATTGAGTGGATAAATACTGAAATATTTTTTTTATTATATATAATTCTATATTTCATTTTAGACTAATTTATAATTTACAAAAAAATTATGAATTTTTAATTTTTTACAAGAATAACTAAATATTATAATTTAATTTTTAATTAAAATTAACTTATTTTTCAAAATATTTTAATATTTAACTAGTAGTTATAAAGAAATTAGTTTTAAAAAACCATTAAAAATTATCATATTATATATGTATAATATTGATTTTATTGATTTTTATAATTTTAAAAACCAATTTTTTAAGATTACTAATCCAATTTTATAATTTTATAATTTAAATTTTTAATTACTTAGAAAACTAAAATTTAATTTTTAATTTATTATAATTATTTTAAATAAAAAGTTAAAAAATCTATATTTTATAAATCAAATAATTTATTTGAAATTATATTATAATTAAGTAAAAAAAAATATTTTGAAAATTTAAGATTTTAAAATAAATATAAATTTATTATACTAGCTTTTATAATTATATTTAAATTTAATATAAAAGTAATACATTATTTTTGATCATCACTATATATGTATTCTACTAAGTTATTTTGCAAAAGACTAATTATATATACAATTATTTATCTAAACAAATATTACTTTTTTTAATAGTATTAATTATATGAATATTTTATATAAAGTTTCTTTAATTTGCAAAATTAAATTATTATTTAAATATTTTTAATTTTAAAAGTAATTAAACAACATTTTTTTTTTATTTTTAACTAAACTTAAATTAACTAAAATATTTAGTTGATTATAAAATTTCTTATATATTTGAATTTATAATAAAATATTTTAATAACTACAAGATATTATTATATATTTCATACAATTATTTTTTAATAATAATTAATTGATCTTACTTTTTAATCTTCTAATTTCTCTAAAATCTTTTCTTTAGATATTTGATCTTTAAATATAAATTATAATACTATTAACTTTATTGATTTTATTAAAGATATTATTTCTAATTTTTATATTATTTGATTTATCATCTCTTAAACAATAAAATTTTAACTTTTGGTATTTTTTTTATTATATATCATTATATATCTATACAAATTAAATTTTGATATTATAGATTTTTCTTCTTTAACACTTATTTCTTTTTAATTTCTTTTTTTTTAATTTTTTTCTTTAGATATAGTACTTATTGATCAAATTTTTAGGTTAATAACAATTAAACCTTTTGTACTAAATATTTGAGCCTATTTTAAATTAGTTAGAATAGGTTAATCTGAGACAGAATAAAGTTGATTTTGATTTAATTTAGATTTTCTTTACTAAAAGATTCTGTATTTTGTAACTTGTAATTTTAAATAATTTTATTAAAGTTATTAAAAAATGAATAACAATTTCTTTTTTAAATTTTTAATTAATATAAATAAAAGTTATTTGATATAATATAAGCTTATCATTTATTAATAAAAAAGAATAATCCAAAATGTCAAATATACTATGAAGACCACCATCAATAACAAAAGATTTCGTCTAAATTTATCACTTAAATTTAAATCACGTGACCGTCAAAAACCTGTCTAATGATTTAACGAAACCGTAACACAAACTTATGAACTCGTACCTTCAACGAAATTAATAATGCCCGATAATCTAAAAGAACCTTTCTCTATGAAGCCAGAAACTATTCGTTTATCTGTGTTCCTTGCAGATTGCCTTTCTGTAGGCTGTCTGAAGGTTGATAACTTTTGCCTTAATTCGATATATATGGACACTTTGCAGTAAAAAAGGAAAAATAAATCTATTTTGTCAATTGTGCATTCCAGGTTATATAAACTAACATTTTTAGCTTTCAAAGTATTTCCTCCCTTTCTACCGCAAAGAGCCCATATAATATATATATGTAGGTATAAAAGCTAAATATACAATCTTCTGTTTCATTTAATTAGGGATTCAAACATTTTGAAGTATATTTAAGAGGCCGAGAAGAACTCTTATTACGTGTATATATTGATAGTAATAATAAAACAAATTCAAATTTGGAAAGTAATAGGTTAAACTATAATTCTCTGTCACTTGCAAAATCTCAGTAAGTAGTAAGCTTTTTTTGTTTTTGCTTTTTAATTCAATTACAATTTAAATTTATTTATATATTTCGTTATTATAGAAGCAACGCATTGTTTTCACCAAAAACGCGTCGGACGTAAGTTTTATATAAGTTTCTTTAAATGAGGTGTGGGCAATGAACGACAGAAATTCCCTTTTTTTTCGAGGAATTTGTAAGCATTAATCCAACCTTCTGTGAATCATAAGAATCGAAATTGTGTTAACTTATCGTTATTATCCATTAATTAATTATTTAGTCTTAGTAACGGGTTCGATATGGATATTATATTACCACCATCCAGTCCTTTAGACAAAGATTTAGAAAAAGTTAAGTGTTTAAAAAACAATTACGATCTAAATTTAATTTGGTAATTTAATTTATTGTAACCTTTTTCTTTTTTTTAATTATAGGATGAAACTAACCATGCTTTCTTGATAGCTGGATATGCAAGATATAAATGTCCTTATGTTTGGGTAAATATTTATCTTCGATAAGTTTAACTTTTGGGAATTGATCAAAGGGGTTATTTACAGATTATTTATAATTATAGTTGAGGTCAAATCATAAAAGGTTAATTCAACTTCAGGATGATCAAAAGTTAGAAACTGATAATCCATTAAAACTTGATACTATAGCCGCTTGGAAAGCCAGAGGTAGATTAGATTGTTATTTTCTTTCCTAAATGGTTATATTATTAAATGAATGAGTATATTTTCTTTTTAAAAAAAGATATTAAACTTTGGGATATTATTGCGGAAGTGATAACATTGTGTCTTGATAAAGCGCCAGAAAATCCATTTGAAATAGATCATTCATATTATGACACATTACCAATTGAAGAAATGGCTGTTAGTACAGGAGCGATGGTAGATTTTCTTCAAAAAGTTTATCTAAATGATACTCCATATGCTAGTAATGGTAATATAATTATGTATATTTCGTTCGATTATATATCAATTTATTTTAATAATTATATTTCTTAATTTAGTTTTTGAAGACATTAAACAACTTCAACAGAGACATTTCATAGCTTTCGAAGAGATGAATGAAGCATTGAATTCAAATTCGTTAGAAAAATCAAATCCATCTTCTAATGTATCAGTCAATAATACTAAAAAATTTGATTAATAACAATCTTATTTTTTATTTCTTTTATAAATCTATTTAATTAATCCTATTTTATAGTTGTATTTTGAAATATACTGATGAATGTTAATAAACATATTAATAAATATAATAATATTAGTTTATTAATCTTAATTTTTAAGAACATATTATTAATATTAAAAATAAATAAACAAAAAAATTTTTTTGATTATAAATATAGTAAACTTTTTTATATTTTAATTGTAAATATTTAAAAACATTTAGTTTTTTTATTATTAATAAATGATATATTATTATATTAATAAGATAAAAAAAATCAGATTTATTATATTATAAACCAATTAATATTATTAATAAAATTTTAATATATATTAATTATTAATTAATAAATATTTTATCATATATTTTCTATAAATTAAAATTTAATATTAACTTAAATAATTATTAATTCTTTAAATTATTTTAGTTATAATTTTATAAAAAAATTTATAATTATTAATTTTATTAATAAATATTTAATAAAAAATTTTAATCATTTTAGTTAAAAAATCAAATTGTGAAATAGGTTAATATAAGAAAAATCAGATTTTAATAAAATTAAGATTTTTTATTAACAAATTATAAATTTAAAATTGTAAATTTTAATTTAATTAAATTTAACTAATTAATGAATTTTAACATTTATTTTATAATTAAATTTCTGATGCTAATTAAAATTTAATCATTTAAAGTTAATAATTGATTTTACTTACTTTTATAAAATTAAACCTATATCAATTCTATTTTTATAAGATTATATAATTATAATTAAATTATATTAAATTTATAATAAATTTTAATACATAATTTTATTTTATTTTTTTTTTTTTTAAAAAAAAAAAATAAAAATTGTAAATAAAATTTTTTAAATAAATATAATATAAATTATACATATTAATATAATAATTTAAATTATTATATTTTTAATTAAATAATATATAATATTAGAATATTAGTTTAGAAAATAATTGGCCTATCATCTAATCAACATCAAATTGATATTATTTATTAAAGATGTATATTAATATATAATTTTATACCAAAATCATCTTTAATAAATTATTTTAGAGAATCAATAACAAATCTTCACTTTCGTCAAATTTTTATTTTACAATTTGAACAGTTAACTCACTAAAGCCTCCATCATTGTGTACAAATAACGGACTTAACCGAGTATAAACGTATGCTAACACAGTTTGTTCATTAGCACCTGGTTTAACCTGTACACATATCGTGCCAACCAATTGTCCATATGAATTTGCCCAAAAATGCGTTGCTGTTAACGATAAAATTATTGGATCAAGTTGAATCTAGTTTGAAAATAATCATTAATTAGATATATTTTATAGTAACTTTCAATCAAACTTCCTAAATACCTCTCGTAAACACGCTTCTAAACTTCTTAATGCTATATCCGGTGTAGTCTGTAACAAGATTTTGCCTAATGCAGTAGCAACGGGACCTGCAAGATAAAACATTAGCATCGATTCCAATATCGATACTAATTTATCTAGCCATCCCAAAGAATGACTATAAACGTCGATAGGAATTTGAGATTATATTAATAAATTTAAATCAATCCTCTTACATAGTCTCACAATTCTCTCATATAATTTCCTCACTTTTGCTCTGTAAGGACTCCAACCAAGATGACGCTAAAACCACAAAGTAATGTTGCTAATGTAAATAAATTAGACAGTATTATTGAAAATCCATCATTAGATTGCCAATAATGCGATGGATGTGTTCCTATCATTGACGATGCTGATCGGGATACTACAAACGAAATAATACCGTTAACAAAAAATCAAACCAAAAAAAATAAAATTTATTTAGTATACTCCTACATGCAGAAAATCCTCTGTGGTTACGATAACCGATAGCCGAAACCAAGGTTGCAACTAAGGCCAATAAAACCCAAACCATTGGAAAATCTGGACTATAAATAATTTAGAAAAAACTTAAGGAATATAAAGTATTTCAAATAAATCTAAGTGAAAAAATTACCTGTGATCTTCAACATGTTCCTCACTTGTTTCTAATATGAAATGTTCTAATCCTTCTTTCAACATATATAAAGCAACAAATAAGAGGTATAATGTATTCGTAAATCCAAATAATATTTCATACCGTTGAACTCTTAAAGATATAACAGAAAAGTTAAAGAATTGATTTTAAAATATAAACACCTTATAAGATGGAAAGGTTAATACCCATAAGGATTCCGTATAGTAGATTCACTTAACGATCGATATGTTGCAATAACTGATGAAATAAAAGTTGTAAATACGCCCAAAGCATCGAATATTACGAGGTAAGCAAATCCGGTGAGAGCTATACTGGCATTAATTTCTTTAGTTACTCATATTACGTTTATAATTAAAGCGAAAGAATGTAAAATACCTAATCCACAACCCCATTGGCCTTTTAGCCATAACAGAATTCCTAGAAAAAGGTGTACAGTTCCCCAGGTAAATAAAGTCTTTTGTGAAGGAGGCAACGATGAAAATATAGATGATAACGTTGGTAGATGTTTAATATTAGAACTTTGATAGTGTCCTTCATGAAGTACATTTTCATGATAATTTTTATGTGAATGGATATGACCATGCTTTTCCTTTTCACTATCATAAGAATGGTGTTGGTCATGATAACTTTTATCACCATAATCGCAGTTATTTTGAAAATTATGACCTATTATTGATTTATTTATACACGTTTCGCCAAAATCATCACTATTTTCTTCTAAACCTGAAGCTTGAAAAGATAAACTTGAAGCGGTTCGCCGCAAAACCGTTGTTCGTGGAAGTTGAAGGTGCGGTGAACTTGAAGTACTAGCATGTGATAGGGAATACATCTTATTATATGCACTTAATCTTGAAGCTTCTGGGTGAATTACTTCAAGTCGAGGGTTGTCTGCTCGTATTGTTTCCGCACGATCGTCATTTAACCGTGGTGTTTCCATTTCGTCTCCGAAATAATAGAAAGTCGATTCTATATAACGATACATGAATATCATGGCGCAGCAAAAAGGCGCAGAACTGGCTATAATTAGTTTAATATATGTTGTTTAACGTTAATCAGATTTATATCAAAGAATTTTTGTAGTACATATGCATATTATAAATTGTGACCCAAAAGCCAAAAGGAAAGCAAGAATGTTATTTAGACACAAAGGTTACTAATTTTTGCGTATACTTGATATATACCACTATATATCTCACATATCAATTAAATGATATTAATAAAAAATGATTTAAGTTTTAATTCTTTTTTACAGAGAATGGACAAAAGTTTCCAATTCAAATTTTTTTTATATTATTAATACAATCTAAATCTTTAATATTTAAAATTTGAAACAGTAATTATTAAGCAAAAATATTGTATAATTAATTTAAACAACTAGTTATTAAAATTAAATTATAATTGAGTCGATGCTTGCTAATTAGTCTATTCTGGGTAACACAAAAATGTTCCGCTCGAAATTCGAGCCGTTCCGTGATTGGTTCCTTAACAATGGTTTCCTAGCGGAACGAAGTGAAAGATCGAGTCGATTGCACAAAAAATCTCGATAAAGTGTGAATTTTTTAGTTAAGATTGCTCCGGACAACAAGTTATCAATCATATCATGAAAAAAATACTATAGTAAGCGGCACATGAATTGAAATTAACTTTCTGTTATTCCATTAAATTATTAGAAGATTGTAATTATTATTTCGATCTGAATTAAATAAAATGAATTGATTATTCACCAAAAAGATTTGACAATTCAATTCAATTAAAACAAATTTCAATATCAAAACTTACAAATAACATAACAACCTTTTTCCGTCTTGAATTATTGATCAAGCTAATTTAGTTTTGTCAACCGATTCTCTACTTTTTTCGTAACTAAATGATAGGATCTTAATTTCATCACAACACAATATTACCAAATAAGTATACTATTCGATAAACATACTCGTATTTTGACACGTGATTGTACTAAAATTAGACTTAATAATCTTCACGTTGGAGCAATTTTATGCCGAGTCAAAATTTCATTCTATCGTACGTTTTTTATTGTTGTGTTCTTTCAACGATAAAACGAATTGTTCCAGGATCGGTCCCCGTTTCCTAGTAATAATTATATATCTCAACAATTACTGATTAAAATTAGTAAATTGTAAAATGAGATTGTACAATAATATATAAATGCCGTCACACGAGCATTTAACATTTATTAGGAGCCTTGATTTTAACAATTTTTTTTTTCTTTTGTTCGTTCGAAATTCTAAAACTAAAATTCGGAACGACCTCGAGTTAGTTTGTCACGTTTATTTTAAAATTTTTATTGGTGGTTATGTTGTAGTGTTGAATGGGGGGTTTTTTTTTCAACTAAAAAATCATTAACTGAATGAAACGTTATCGATATGAAATGGCGTTAATGAAACTATCCCATCGAAGATTAAGAAGTTGGGAAATTCATAGTTTTTTTTAGTTAATTGGCACCTAAATTATCAATTAAATCATGTGATTTAAAGTCTCGTAATAATTTATTATTAATAAAATATAAATTCTAGCTTTATCTCGCATGAAACGGATCAGTGATAGATCGATCATCTTGGAACTTATTTTGATTTTCTTATCTTTTATCAATTCAGACATTTTTTTTTCATCATAAGATTATCACACATAAAAATCATAACATTAAAAGCGTTAAATTCATTTTGCATTTTGCATTCAATTTATTCTCAAATCCTTCTATTCAAATATTATGGCTAAAGGAGACGAACCAGAATCTAGTAAAAAAGCCGATAAGTAAGTTTAAAGTATACTTAACCTGTTTCATATTCTTAAATTTATCAAAGTTATAGTTATTTATGAAAATTCATTTTTATTTTTTATTACACTGAAGGAGTTCTGGACTTGTCTTGACAGATAAGTCTTCTGGCACGACGTGGTCTCTACCAGCTCCAGAAAAAGGTTTAGGCAATGTTCCAGCACGACCCACGGCTGTAGTTGTTTTACCAAGAAGGTTCTAACTTTTTGTGATATGGAAGTTTTTGACCTTTTACTTTTTATCACGCTCGCTGACTTATTTGTGAACATATTGATAGTTCAAATACTCAATCGCTTACGGTTTTGGATAATCGTACCAATAAACTCTATGAAGTTCCAATCGACAACAATACCATATCCGCGATTAAATTCAAAGAGATTACTGCGGATCCTGCTCCTGGATCTCGAGAAGAGGATGAGAGTGGTAAAGGATTAAGGTATATTTCTTTTGACTTAGTAATTCGCTAAAATCGCAATTTATATATTTATCTCACTTTGAATTCAATTATAAATAAAGAATATACGATCCAGGTATTACATACCTTTCAATTTTTTTTTTGTTTTGACTTTAATCTTTTAATTAAATCGTTATTTATTATTTATCTGATTTTAGCGTTTCAAAACACTGCGGTCGCGCAGTCCAAAATCACTTACATCAATGGCGATACTGGTGTTTTAAGATATCGGTAAATTACTTTACCTTTTAATTTTTATCATTATATAGTTTCTAACGTCACTCCTTGTGTAGGGGTTATCCCATTGAACAACTCGCCGAAAAGTCTACATACCTTGAAGTCGCATATCTCTTGATTTATGGCGAACTACCATCAAAAGATCAATTTATGAACTTTTCTCATGAAGTTATGCATCATACATTTGTACATTTTAATGTCACTCAATTGATGCGTAATTTCAATTATGATGCGCATCCTATGGGACTGTTCATTAGTGGTATTGCTGCTATGAGTACTTTTCATCCAGATGCTAATCCGGCTTTGGCTGTAAGATTAAATTCATCCTTACTATTTTTTATTAAAATTTTATAGCATCGCAAATCTGATTTTCTCCAATTTTAGGGATCTGATCTGTTTATTCGTGACGATAAAGTACGAAATAAACAAATTTTCAGACTTTTAGGGAAAACACCAACTTTGGCCGCGTGAGTATAAATTCGAGTTTACTTTATGCGTCAAGTTTAAAAGTTTAATATATATCACATATAACAAAAACGATCTCTTTATTCTTCTAGTATGGCATATCGTCATCGTATTGGCCGGTAAGATGCGGGTTAATTGTATATCAATGTATTATATTGTAAAATTTTATAATAAAATTCCATCATTATAATTTATAGTTCATATAATCCTCCACAAAATAATCTTTCATATACAGAAAATTTCTTGTATATGCTTGACCGATTGTCAGAAGAAAACTACAAACCAAACCCAAAATTATCCAAAGCTCTTGATGTTTTATTTATTCTTCATGCAGGTAAGACTTTTATGTTGGTGTAAATTAAATTTTAATATCATTTTTCTAATCATTTTTATTTATTATGAAACGTTGAATTAGATCACGAATTGAATTGTTCAACAGCAGCAATGCGTCATATAGGCTCCTCTTTGGTTGATCCGTATAGTGCAATTTCCGGCGCTTCAGCTGCTTTATATGGTCCACTTCACGGAGGAGCTAATGAAGCAGTGTTGAGAATGTTGGAAGAAATTGGGTCAGCTGATAAGGTTCCAGGATTCTTGGAAGAAGTAAAACAAAGAAGAAGAAAATTATTTGGTTTCGGTCATAGAGTATACAAGAATTATGATCCCCGCGCAAAGATTATTAGAAATATTGCTTATGAGGTAAAATTTTTTCTCGTCCTTTTTTTTTTTCAAAAGTATCAAATACTTTTTTTAATTGACTTTATGTTCGAAAGGTATTCGATGTTTGTGGACGTGAATCTCTTATTGACGTTGCAGTTGAATTGGAGAAAGCAGCACTGGAAGATGAATATTTTGTAAAAAGAAAACTTTACCCTAACGTTGACTTTTATTCTGGATTGATTTATAAAGCAATGGGATTCCCAACAGATATGTTCCCAGTATTATTTGGTAAGTATTTATATCATAATTCTAACTGTACTGTGAAGCCTTCCTTATTCATCATTATTTTATTTTTATTTTTGATTAGCAATTCCACGTGTTGCAGGATGGTTAGCACATTGGAAAGAATCTTTAGAAGATAAGGAGTCAAAGATTTGGCGTCCAAGACAAGTTTATGTTGGGGAAAGTGTTAGATCTTACATCCCATTAGAACATCGTGAAGGAAAAGGAAAAGGAGATGATGTTTCCAAAGTTTCGGTGAGTGATATTTTTTATCTTGTAATATTTCTATTATATTAATTTAACAAATTTATCATTATTATTATTGTTATTATTACTATTGTTAAGCAGCATCCGTTTAGTAAAAGAAGCTCGGTGGCTGAATTTGAAAATAAACAACCTCTATCCAAATTATAGGATATAATTTTTAGATTTTAGAAATTATTTTTTTTATGTCGTTGGGTACATACATTCATAGCCATCACTCTTCACTATATTCTTCAATTTCTATTTTACACTTTTTATTTTTATTTATTTATTAATCATTATTTAAATAATAAAATGTTTTAATAAGGTAAACATGTATATATATATATATACAGTATAAACTGATATTCCATTTATAAAAAATGTATTCTAAAATAAAATTAACTACTATCAGATAAGATAGACATAATTATACATTAGTAATCATGATAAATTATAATAATAATCAAAAAAAATAATTAAATTAAAACATTAAAAAATTGGAATATTATGATTATACATTATATGTAAACCATTTTTTATAATATGAAAACTTTCTTCCATAACCATATGAAGTACTATTGTACACAACATAAAATTATAATCTATGTATTGTGTTACTACAACCTTTTCAGGAGGTTGATTATAAGGGAGGAAAAAAAAAACGAGAATTTTCATCTCAAAACAAACAGATTTAAATATGTAATGTTTATTAAATAATCAAAATTTTCACATTCATGCCATTTTTGATCATCAAGAAAATTTCAAGAAATTTCCTGATTATTATAAATTTTTTTTAGACCGCAGAATAAATTAAAGTTTTTTCATCTCCACAATGATAACCTATCAAAGCCCGTTTTTTACCCCACATAGATGACAATATTTATGTCAAAAAAAGACTCCAGACGTTTACTTGATAAGGTAGATGCAAAGAAAATGAGGTAAGGAATTATTAAACATTTTAAAAATAAAAATAAAAAATTTGTGATAACTAGGTACTTTTAAGGCACACCCTAATTTGGAAGGTGAGATGTCAAAATAACAACCAAGTGATAAAATTATTCAATGCGGAGTTTGATTAATTGATGTGGTACAATGAAATATCGTTCAATGACATTTGCAGCTCGCATATTCTATTAATTATTTTTTTCGGAAAGGTTTGAACCATTTCATTCGAAAAATTGTCAAAATGATCGAACAAGTGTTGAATAGATATAAATTAGTTAAAAAAATGAATAACATAACAATAGTAAATAATCACTTCCCCTGAACCCTCTTCCAATTTTACTTTGAACAATAGAAATTTCGATTCACTTTGTTATGATGGAAAAAAATCCAAAAGGAAACGAGAAAAAAATAGATAGCATTTTTCATGAAATTGATTAGGTGAGTAAATTAAATGTGGGCGTAAAAGTATCGATTACACTAGTTTTTCGACCTACTATATGTGATATGTATATGTATATATTATTATGTATGGTTGTTGAAGGGGAAAAAAAAAGAATTCCATTGTTCTTTTTTTAAAATTTCGATGTCGGTATGTAAAATGATATAATTGATAATGATCTCATGACCCGATCTCGAGGAGGAAACATAAATATTTATATGATTTAAAAGGGTCATGCTTTGGTTGTATCCCCATAAGCCAAAACACGAATTTTTCCTTCGAAATGCACAATGAAAAAATGTGTAAAACATTTCTATTTTCTATTGCAAAGATGATAAACCCCTAAAATGGGTCACGAAGGTTCTAACCCCGATCGAAAAAAAATAAAGAAAGATAAGGAAAAGAAAAGGGGAATTATAAATAAAACTTCACGTTTTCGCTTATATTTTTCCGAAAAACAAGTAATCATTTTTTGTGTTTATATAAAAACTTGTTTGAATTTAATTGGAAGAACGTTTGAATTACAACTTTTACAGTGTATAAATAGGAAAATTGTTGTTGCACTTGATTTGTGTTTATATAGTTAAATCATTTTGATATAATCGTGAACTTTACTTTTACAAATAGTTTGTGGCTATTCGGAAATTTGTTTTCTTTTTCCCTTATTTTAAAAAAAATCATCGTTTTTGAACATTACAATCAAAAGGACAAGTTTAAGGTGCTGCGGAATTTAAAGAAAACTATTCAAAAAGCATCCAGAAGAGGATGACTGACTTTTTAAGAATTAATTGTATCCCTTTACCATTTGAAAATAAAACGGAGCTACCGTATTTTATGTTAACAAAGTGAACAACAGATCAAAGGATTTATTATTTCCTTCCTTAAATTTCTTACAAATTCTTAATTACAGCCGCAACATAACGTTTGGTAATTGTTGTTCCCTAAAGAGATGTTAATGATGTTCGGTGAATATTAATTAAATATTATCCGTTATTTATTGTTTATCTGACTGCGCCTTTGGATGTTGTGTTTTCCAAATATATTTGTGCTCTTTAAATAGATTTTCTTCCATAGAGAAGTATTTTATTATTAAAATAGCATGAAGAAAATGAAAAGTTAATTCTACTAATGAACACGCGCAACAATTTTAACGTTGATTAGCTCTTTTTTCTTTTTCCAAAGAAAAATGGGAATCCTTATTATTATACAAAAAAAGGTCTATTGATTGATTTGTTTTAGAAAAAGATTTTTCAAAAAGTGATTCACAAAATGTCACAGAATTTTGAGCGCCACTCCCTCATTTATTTCACAAAATGCTTTACTGGATACAGTTAATGAGATTTATAAAAAAGTGAGTGCACACTATATATTTGGGAAATATAATAATTAAATATTAATTAATATAAATTATTATTTGGTTGAAAGATTAAATTATTTTGATGTCGGTAAGATATGCATTGACACACAAAATGATACATATTTTGACAACATTATTAATATAAAAAAAATAAAAAAAAACCATTCATTTATTTTATTTATACAGTTTTATTTTATTCCTTTTTTTTAATGGGCGTTTTTTTTATTTTGTGTATATATATCTCTATCTCAACTTTTTTTTTGCTGAAAGATTTTTTTCATTTTCATTTTTTTAAAATTTTTCTCAACCTATTTTTGATAACGAAAAAAAAAAAATTTTTTTTTTTTTTTTCTCAATATTATATATTTCAACGAAAAGCATTCAAGCTCTTTTAAGAATAGTGATATTTAAAGTTATCTTTATCTCGTTTCTTTTTTTTAAAAAAAAAAAAACTATGATACGAACAAAACATTCCAAAAGATCGTTTCCTTTCAGCAAATTACCTCAAGATATCATAGAAAATATCATCAGGTTCTCCATAAAAAATACATCAACGACTTTAAAAGGTTCACAATTAATCTTCGTTAATCGGTTATTCGCAAAAACATCGATACCCCACATATGGAAACATTTATACTTGAGGGAACCTTCGCAACGAATAATCTTCAGCATATTATCAACCCCGTCAGAAGAACTGATGTTTGATTATAAATCCTTGGTACGAAGAATCACCATATGTCCGATATCCATATCATATATGAACTCGGGAGGTTTATTAAAAACCTTGGAGATCGTACGAAAATTTTTCACATCACCGTTGGTCGCCGTTTCGATTGAAGATAAATTGAGTTTTTGTCACGTTTGTCATGTAGGAAAAGAGATTACTTGGAATCAGGTAGCGAGCGAGTTATTGGCTTGGAAAGGATTAAAGGAATTAACGTTGGATTCCAATCATTCGGCCTTTAACGATGAGTTGTTAGGCGTGCTTTTACCTAACTTTGCTCCCTTCGTGGACAGACAAAGAAGAATTCATGGGGGTTTACAAAAAATTTCCCTAAGTGGTGTCAACTTTACCGATCAAGGAATACTTCAATACGTTATTCCTTACGCTAAGGATACCTTGGTCGAATTTAGTGCCGGATATAAAGGAGTGAATCCAACGAATAACATTACTGGTTTATCTATACTTGAATTGTTGAAAAATTGTAAAAATCTTTCAAGAATTTATTTAGAAGGGGTTGCCTTAAGTGACTCGGATTTTGTCAAACACCTCACAATGACAAACGATGACGACCTTTCCGCTTACTGTGATGAATTGTTAGGTGACAATTTATCCGATTTCGATTACGATGATGATATGGTATATAATTCTTCTTCGTCGTCTCCGCATAACTCCCTTATTCTTTCCCATCCGTCACCAACCACTTCCGTGCAACAACATCCGTCCGCTCAAATAGAATATTTATATCTTGGTAAAACAAATCCTTCTACATTTACCCACTTGGGACTCCAATCCCTTCTTTCCCTTTGTCATAAATCCCTTCAAACCTTGGTAATAGATATAGATTATATTTCTCAATCCGTTTTATTGGATGTAATCATACCATTATTCTCTTGTACTAAATTACAAGAGATTCATTTGATATCCGAAAGTTGGTATGAATGGGCTTTACATTATCCCCGTCCTCGTTACGAATTTGAGATTCAAGCAAAAGAAGCCATGTGGAGATGGAAGTTAAAAGCTTATTGGGAATTAAGTAATGAATTAATCAATCATGTTGGTGATAAAATCGAAAGTTTACGAGTCTTTAGTATATTGGGAGAAAATTATCTCGGAAAAAGCCTGTAGATTAAAAAAATAGTAGGAGATGAGATTAAGGAGTAAGTAAGACCGTAAGGGGTGGGAAAAAACAAAAAAAAAAAATTTAATTTTTCTCTTTAATATTTTTTTTTTCATTTCGTTTTATTTTAAATATTATTTATTTATTTTCTTTGTACATATTTTTTTTATCCCTTTTTTTAAAAAAAAAAAAAAAAAAATTTTTTTCTCATCAAAAAGTAATTATTTTTTCTAAAAAAAAAAAAAAAAGTATTTTATTAAAATTTTATCGTATCACTTAATATTTTATCACATATTCACCTAGAAGGATTCTATAAAAAAAATTTATATATATATAATATACATTTATCTCATTCGATAGAAAAAAAAAAATTTAATATTTTTTAGTCAAAATTTCTCCATTCAATAAAAAAAAGGTGCCATTATCAAAATCATTCGTTTTTTTGATTATCTTTTTGAAAAATTTTTTTCTTTAACCTGATTTAGAAAGTCATAAAATAAATATTTGATGTTACAGTGAGGAAAAGAAAAAATGAAATCTTGTATCGTACAAAAAGAGATAGGGGTGAAATTTTTTACCATATAAATGCAAACATTGGAGCAAATACAAGAATAATACAACTGATCATGTTTCGTTATACGAAAAGAGATTAAATCATTTCTTTTCAAAAAGAAATATGAGACGAAAATCAGATCAATTGTTGGGTAACTTTAATTTTACTAATCACTTCATTTTACTTGGTAACCTAATTTATATTTATTTTTGCCGTCTATATAGTATGGACTAAAATGGTTAAGGGTAAAAAAATGTGGGTGTCAATGCGCATTTGTTTTACTGCGGATTGTGTGAAACTTCCCAATTCTGTTTGCATCGCATAATCAAAAAAAAAAACAAAAGGTGACACGCCCTTTTCACCATTTGTGAATTTTTATTCCGTTCTATTTTTTTTAAAAAAAAAAAATAAAAAAAAATAAATAAATAAATAAAAATATAATAAAATAAAATAAAATAAAACTATAAAAAAAATATTATTATTATTATTTTTTTTTAGACATTTGGCGTAATAATAATCCGTTAAAATGATGTCGAAATTTTTCTACACGGTGCAATAATCGTCAATGTCCGTCATTTTGTTCCGAAAGACAAAAGAAAAATTAAAAATTCCGTATCTCATAGGTAAAAAAATCTACAAATCCAAGAACAGATTTTTGTAAATCACCTAGCAAATGAGTATTCGTGAGACATTGATATATGCATGGTAAACCCTTTTTTTGTACCGTTGACGAATTAAATTCAAGGTGTCAAACAAAGTATTATATGATGGAAACCGAGGGTGATTGTTATGAAACTTTGGTAATCTTTTGAAATTTTACATGTGTACGGGTCATGTCATTCATTTTATTTCTTTATTTTGAAAACCAAAAAACGACGGCGGATTTCCCATCTCCTTCCGTTAGTGATCTCATAATGTTAATCTTATAATATCCGAAATAATTAAAAAAAGAAAAAATCATGAGAATTGCTCTTATAATTTAATTAAATAATTTGATAACTTTGTGATCATTTTTTTTAACCATTATTAATCAAAAGGTAATAAAAGGATTTTTTTTTTTTTTTGAACACAACCTGATCTTGTTCTTGTATCCTAATTTTCTCTGATTGAGATGGTAAAAAAAAAAAAAAATTGCCGGGTCAACATGATATGTTTTTCCGATTGGTGACGAATGCAAGAAAATTGAACGCAACAGACCTTGTCATTTTTTTTTTACAAGTCCCAAATATTTATTTGAAATTAAAATGGTCCTTGCTTTGTGTAAATATGATTTTCCGAAGAAAGTATTACCATACTAGATTGTACAAATTTGTCTTTTGGGTACACACCATTAATTCCGTACATTATTAAAATCTTGCAAATTCGTTTTTGTTTACTCATCTGGATTTGGATCATGAATCACATCATCACATCATCACATTATACACAATTCCATAATTCACAATTTTTGACCTTTTTTTTTTATTTCAAAAATTTGATTTTTTCCCAAGAATTATTATTATTTTTTTTTTTTTAACAACCGGCTTTGGCGCAGTAAACGGATGGCGTAGCAGCTTCCACAAACGCAGCAGCAGTTCCGTGGCATTTTTGAAATCTCTAGATGTATAAATCGGCATGTTTGCATATTTTCTATTTCCATTTCTATTTCAATCCTATTCGTCCTTCCGATATAAAAAAGATGTAACCTAAATGATGTAATTGAATCATTCAAATCTATTTCATTTAAAAAAAGAAATAATTTACTTTACAACGGCGTTTTTGCGAACCGTTACTTTACAAGGTTAGAAGGCTTTTGTTTTAATTTTATTTTGATTTATCAAAAAAAAAAACAGCTTGTGACATCCATTGTGACAAATAACTTTCGTTTAATTCAATGAAGATCAACGAATTAATAACAAGTTTGTTATGTTCGTAGGTAGAGCGAAGTAAAAAAAAAATTCGAGTATGAATATCATAAGCTTGTGATTAAATATAAGCAAAACTGTACGTACGCCTTACATTCATTATTTATTATTTCCGCTAAAAACTCGAGTAAGAAAAAAAAAAAATTTTTTTTTTTCCCCTAACGAGAAATCTTGTGAGAAATTTAAAATATTTATACATTAAAGGGTGATTATGTCCGGTATAAGGAACTTTCTTTTCTTTTTAAATAGGTTGTGAATGAGATGATTTAAAGGAATGATATTGGGCATTAAAAAAAAAAAGATGAAACAAAAAAAAAAAATTTTTTTTTAGGTTTTTTATTATTATTATTGGAGATAAATTTAGTAAGTTACATACATTCTTTAGAATTTTAAGTTTGACCTAAAATCATTAAATTTATATACACCCTACAGTAAAATTGAGTTTCTACCAAAATCCACTTTAGTTCTAAAGGATGGCTTTAAATTTCAATCATAGGAACCCTATCATCATCTCGATCGAATAAAATTTTTGTCTCGAAATATCCAATAACGTATATAAAATCATTCATTTTAAAAATCACACGATCTTTGAGCAGAAAATTTTTTTTTACAGCCCTCTCTTCATGTGGGGAATGCAGTGACGCCATTTTTCTGCATTACGTGAAACAATGCTTTCCATTCAACACGAGATATTTTTTTTACGTTCTGTACTTACTTTTGAAGGGTTTTTTCCAAAGTAAAGTAAAAGGGCTTTCTTTATATGTGATCTATATACACTTATTCATGTTTACAATAAAGATGTTTTGGATGTGTCATGTATGTTCAAGTATTTTTATAATGTATGCATGTAGTCAGTCAGAACTTTAAATTTTTCGTTACATGTCACGCCCGCATTCATCTTTGGTGACGATTAAATACGTACAGAACATGAAAAAAAATTATCAAGAAAAATTTCAGGTTTTTTGAAAAATTAGATCAAGCAAAGATGATCATTTTGGATTCAACATCACATAATAATAATATTATTATCACATATATTATTATATAAAAAAAAAACAAACATTAGATATCAATTCCGTTTAACAAGATTTGCTTGATTAACAAAAAAAAAAAAACCTTAAAACCTGTTAAATGTTTAATGATAAGGTCATACATTATTCCATCTTTTAATGAATTTCCTTAAACGAACGGAAACGGAATTTTACCGATATGGTGTGGTCCTTTAAAAAATGGTGATAAGATAACGAAAAAGTGATGCTTCAGCAAATCTCAAACATATGTGGTAATTCAAAAAAAAATTTTTTTGACGTAAGATAAGATTGTTTAGCATGATTGATGATTTCATTTGTATAGATAATAAATAGATTAACAATTGTTGTAAATATTTCCCATGTACAGAAACAAGAACACACAGCTTAAAATATTCCCAACCTATTTTTTAACCTAAACTTATTGATTTTTTTGTGCTAACCCAAATCTGGAGCTTTGTCAAACCTAATTAGTATCAAAATGGTTAATGTAAGGAGTAAATCTCTTTATTAACTTTCAACGCTTAACTAAACGTCGTTAACCTCACTTAGAGACATTTAAAAAATTTATTTGGTGATAAGCTCATGTGTTCGGTTTGAAAGAATGCAAACAACCTTTATGTATTTCAAATGATTGCATATGATAACAAGAAAGTTTGTTTCATGTAATTTTAACATTTGAAATGACGCACGAGCGTGGCGCGGTGCTTGTGTGTTCATATGAATCGTGTAACCACAGTCGATTAAATATTTACTTACTAAAATGGTCAAATCCTATTAATGATAAATTGATCGAGGGAAGTTCAATGATGATAACATAATGATTGTGTAATAGGAATTTCAAATTTCAATACCGATAGTAGTATCATTACAATCCGTTAATGATTCGTAATATGACGGTTACTGATACCCATATGATGGCGATCACAATATGCAACAATACTAACCATTTGACTCATGTTGCATGTTTTTGAAAACTGTTTTATGCTTATCGGATATCAGAAATTGAAATTCTAAACAAATTCGAAACTGCATTTAGCCTTCAATTCATTTATCTCGAATTTTTTTACCTATCGGAAAGAAATTTATCAATTTCTACGCACGTGATTATTTATCTGAAAATTTGTTCACAGTATATAATTTAAATTATTATGCCCGTGAAAGAATAAAATCAAAAAGACGCGTTCATTCCACCAATAAATTATACCCAATCCGAAACTGTTAATCAAGAATTACAGGAGTAAAAATTATGAAAACTTATGATCGATCAGAAAATCCTTGTTTTAATTCTTTTATTCAACGCTCAATGGAGAGAAAATGCTTATCCCTGAATGGTCTAGTAACCCGAATACCGGGGTATACGGTTGAAAGGTATCTAAAATTTTAGATGGCAATCAATTGGGTTGTGCTTCTGTTACGGGTTGCTTCTAATCCTATGAGATTAGTTGAATCTCGTCCTTTTATAACTTATCACAGTTTTAATGAGAGATACACCCACAGGATCTTCTTACGTGTAGCATCCA